GGGGCGTGCACTTCATATCTGAGAGTCAAATAGAACCGTCAAATACTGTGGTTACATCGCAGTTTGACCAATTCACATTTTTTGGTGGTAAAAAGTAATTTTAGGGCGTGCACTTCATATCTGAGAGTCAAATTGAACTGTGGTTACAACGCACTTTAAAAAAATTCATATTTCTTTGGTGCTAAAAAGTAAATTTGGGGCGTGCACTTCATATCTGAGAGTCAAATAGAACCATCAAATACTGTGGTTACATCACAGTTTGACCAATTCACAATAATTTGGTGCTAAAATTTTAATTTGGGGCGTGCACTTCATATCTGAGAGTCAAATAGAACCGTCAAATACTGCTGTGACATAGCAGTTTGACTAATTCACATTTTTCTGTGCTAAAAAGTAAATTTGGGGAGTACACTTCATATCTGAGAGTCAAATAGAACCGTCAAATACTGCTGTGACATAGCAGTTTGACTAATTCACATTTTTTTGGTGCTAAAAAGTAAATTTGGGGCGTGCACTTCATATCTGAGAGTCAAATAGAACCGTCAAATACTGTGGTTACATCGCACTTTGAAAAATTCACATTTCTTTGGTGCTAAAAAGTAAATTTAGGGCGTGCACTTCATATCTGAGAGTCAATTATAGAACCGCCAAATACTGTGGTTACACCGCACTTTGAAAAATTCACATTTCTTTAGTGCTAAAAAGTAAATTTGGGCCGTACACTTTATATCTGAGAGTCAAATAGAACTGTCAAACACTGCTGTGACATAGCAGTTTGACTAATTCCCATTTTTTCGGTGCTAAAAAGTAAATTTGGGGCGTGCACTTCATATCTGAGAGTCAAGTAGAAACGTCAAATACTGTGGTTACATCGCACTTTGAAAAATTCACATTTCTTTGCTGCTAAAAAGTTAATTTGGGGCGTACACTCCATATCTGAGAGTCAAATAGAACCGTCAAATGCTGTGGTTACATCGCACTTTGAAAAATTCACATTTCTTTGGTGCTAAAAAGTAAATTTGGGGTGTACATTTCATATCTGAAAGTCAAACAGAACCATCAAATACTGTGGTTACATCGCAGTTTGACGAATTCACATTTGTTGTGTGCTAAAAATTAAGTTTGGGGCGTGCACTTCATATCTGAGAGTCAAATAGAACCGTCAAATACTGCTGTGACATAGCAGTTTGTCTAATTCATATTTTTTTGGTGCTAAAAAGTAAATTTGGGGCGTACACTTCATATCTGAGAGTCAAGTAGAAACGTCAAATACTGTGGTTACATCGCACTTTGAAAAATTCACATTTCTTTGCTGCTAAAAAGTTAATTTGGGGCGTGCACTCCATATCTGAGAGTCAAATAGAACTGTCAAATGCTGTGGTTACATCGCACTTTGAAAAATTCCCATTTTTTTGGTGCTAAAAAGTAAATTTGGGGCATGCACTTCATATCTGAGAGTCAAATAGAACCGTCAAATACTGTGGTTACATCGCAGTTTGACCAATTCAAATTTTTGGGTGCTAAAAAGTAAATTTAGGGCGTGCACTTCATTTCTGAGAGTCAAATGGAACTGTCAAATACTGTGGTTGCATCGCACTTTGAAAAATTCACAATAATTTGGTGCTAAAATTTAAATTTGGGGCGTGCACTTCATATCTGAGAGTCAAATAGAACCGTCAAATACTGCTGTGACATAGCAGTTTGACTAATTCACATTTTTCTGTGCTATAAAGTAAATTTGGAGAGTACACTTCATATCTGAGAGTCAAATAGAACCGTCAAATACTGCTGTGACATAGCAGTTCGACTAATCCACATTTTTTCGGTGCTAAAAAGTAAATTTGGGGCGTGCACTTCATATCTGAGAGTCAAATAGAAACATCAAATACTGTGGTTACATTGCACTTTGAAAAATTCACATTTCTTTGGTGCTAAAAAGTAAATTTGGGCCGTACACTTTATATCTGAGAGTCAAATAGAACCGTCAAACACTGCTGTGACATAGCAGTTCGACTAATCCACATTTTTTCGGTGCTAAAAAGTAAATTTGGGGCGTGCACTTCATATCTGAGAGTCAAATAGAAACATCAAATACTGTGGTTACATTGCACTTTGAAAAATTCAAATTTTTTTGGTGCTAAAAAGTAAATTTGGGGCGTGCACTTCATATCTGAGAGTCAAATAGAAACGTCAAATGCTGTGGTTACATCGCACTTTGAAAAATTCACATTTCTTTGCTGCTAAAAAGTTAATTTGGAGCGTGCACTCCATATCTGAGAGTCAAATAGAACCGTCAAATGCTGTGGTTACATCGCACTTTGAAAAATTCACATTTTTTTGGAGCTAAATAGTACATTTGCGGCCTGCGGTGCATTTCTTGCAGTACAATAAAACCCTTAAATACTACTCTGACATTGTTGGTTTAAAAAATCACACTTTTTTGTGCTAAATAGAATATTTGCGGCCTGCAGTGCATTTCTTGCAGTCCAATAAAACCCTTAAATACTAGTCTTACATTGTTGGTTTAAAAAAAATCACACTTTTTTGAGACAGTGAAGTAACTGTATTAATTACGCCTGTCACACTGTTGTGTGACCTCTAGAAATTTTTTCTCTTTAGGACACCGGCACTGCCTTACTGTCAGTGAACTTAATTGTTTACTATTGGCAGTTACATTGTCGCCTGCCATAAAACATCTGTTAGTTTGGTGGGTGAACGCAAAGAATGAGGAGAGCGTCAAATAAGGGACGTGGCCCTGGTCGTGGTGCTGCTGGTGTTGGTGGACCTCCTGTTGCAGGGAAAGGACGTGGTCGATCTGTGCCAGCTACACTCACAAGCGAAACACCTTCCTCAGGTGCGAGTAGGCGACAGAACCTTCAGCATTATTTAGTAGGCCCGAATGCCGCTCTACGAATGGTGATCCCAGAACAAGTACAGATGATAGTAGATTGGGTGGCTGACAGTACCTCCAGTTCCTTCATATTGTCTCCCACCTGGTCCCCTGCTGAAAGCTCAGAGTTGGCACATGCAGCCCATGGCCATCTGTCTTTCACCTCAGCCCCTTGCAAATCAGCCAAGCAGTCTGAGCCACAAGTCATGTAGCAATCTCTTATGCTTTTTGATGACTCTGCTGGCGGGGTTTCCGTGGGCCATCCACCTAGCCCTGCCCCAGAAGTTGAAGAGATTGAGTGCACTGATGCACAACCACTTATGTTTCAGGATATGGACATGCAAGGACCACCGCAGCACGTCTCTGATAATGACGAAACACAGGTGCCAACTGCTGTGGCTTTCTTCAGTGTGCAGACCGGCAAGGAGGGCAGGGTTGAGGAGTGGGTGGAAGATGATGTGGAGGATGATGAGGTCCTAGACCCTACATGGAATGAAGGTCATGCGAGTGAAGTGTGCAGTTTGGAGGAAGAGGCGGTGGTCGCACAGAGGCACCATCACATCATAAGAGGGAGCAGGGTGTAAAAGCGGGGTGGGCATCCCCTAGACAGTACGCATGCTACTGCCCACTGCACCCAGGGTCCGAGCACACCAAAGCCAGCTCCAAGGAGTTCCTTGGCATGGCAGTTCTTTAGACAATGTGCTGACGACAAGACACGAGTGGTTTGCATGCTGTGCAATCAGAGCTTGAAGAGAGGCATAAACATTCTAAACCTGAGCACAAACTGCATGACCAGGCATCTACATGCAAAGCACAAGCTGCAGTGGAGTAAGCACCTCAAAAACCAAGACTCCAGGCTCCTCCTGCTTCCTCTTCTGCTGCTGTCTTGGCCTCTTCCCCCACCTTTGGAGTGACGGTGGCACCTGCCACCCCACAAATAGAGGATGTGGCAGCAACGCCACCACGTCCGCCGCCATCCCCAAGCATCTCCACACTGTTCCATGGAAGCGTTCAGCTGTCCATCTCCCAAACACTGGAGAGAAAGAGGAAGTACCCCCCTACCCATCCACGATCCCAGGCCCTGAATGCCAGCATTTCAAAATTCCTGGCCTTTGAAATGCTGTCATTCCATCTGGTGGAGATGGGCAGTTTTAAAAACCTGATGGTGGTGGCTGTCCCACAGTACGTGGTTCACAGCTGCCACTACTTTTCCAGGCGAGCCATCCCTTCCCTGCACAAGCAATTGGCGGACAAAATCAGGTGTGCACTGCGCAACACCATCTGTGGCAAGGTCCACATAACCATTGATACGTGGACCAGTAAGCACGGGCAGGGACTCGATATCTCCCTAACTGCACACTGGGCAAATGTCGTGGTGGCTGGGCCTGAGGCGGATAGCAGTTTGGTGCATGTCCTTCCGCCACCGAAGATTGCAGGGCATTTCTCTTTGCCTCCTGTTGCCGCCTCCTCCTACTCCGCTTCCTCCTCCTCTACCACCTCCTCATCCGGTCAGCATAACACTTTCACCACCAACTTCAGCACAGCCAGGGGGAAACGACAGCATGCTGTTTTAAAACTCATATGTTTGGGGGAAAAACCCCACACCGCGCAGGAGCTGTGGACGGGCATGGAACAACAGACCGATGAGTTGTTGTTGCCACTGAGCCTCAAGCCCGGCCTGGTGGTGTGCGATGATGGGCGAAATCTCGTAGCAGCTATGGCACATCCCTTGCCTCGTGCATGTGCTGAATTTGGTGGTGCAGAAATTCCTGAAAAACTACCCAGATATATCAGAGCTGCTGCAGAAAGTGCGGGTCGTCTGTGCGTGCTTTCGGTGTTCTCACCCTGCTGCTGCTTGCCTGTCTGCGCTGCAGCGTAACTTCGGCCTTCCCACTCACCACCTCATATGCGACGTGCCTATAAGGTGGAACTCCACCTTGCACATGCTGGAGAGACTGTGCGAGCAGCAGGCAATAGTGGAGTTTCAGCTGCAGCACGCACGGGTCAGTCACTCTGCACCAGACTTGCCCTCCAATAGATCCTCGTTAAAGGATTTAAAGTGTACTCATTCCAATTACAGGGCCTCGAAAGTGTCCTGTATTGTTATTTTCCGTCACTACCTCCCCGCATCGGGAGTGGGTAATTTGCGCGCCTGCTGCCTTCCTTGGATGTGGTAGCAGTTTCTCAGGCTCCCTCTCTGGAATCGAACCCTGTTTCCCCATTACCCGTGGTCACCATGGTAGGCGCAGAAAGTACCATAGAAAGTTGATAGGGCAGACATCTGAATGCGTCGTCGCCGTCACGGGGACGTGCAATCGACCCGAGGTTAGTGCCTGCGCAACGACTGCCGAGTTGCCCACATTCTAACTTGTGCTGATTACTGGGTGCCACCCTGCTGGATCCCCATTACAAGGACAACATGCCGTTCTTAATTCCCTCACTGGAGCGTGATCGGAAGATGCACGACTACAAGCGCACGTGAAGCACAAGGCCAAGGCAGAGGAGAAGGAAGAGGTCGACAACGCAGCTGGGGCACCGCCAGCACCTCAAAAGGCAGGGTTAGCATGGCCGAAATGTGGAAAAGCTTTGTCAGCATGCCACAACAACCAGCACTACCAGCTGATATGGAACGTCTTAGCAGGAGGCAGCATTTCAGCAACAAGGTGGAACAGTACATATGCACACTCCTACATGTACTGACTGATGGGTCTGCCCCATTCAACTTCTGGGTCTCCAAATTGGGCACATGGCCTGAGCTTGCCCTTTATGCCTAGGAGGTGCTGGCCAACGTGGACAAGCTCACGTTTATTAAAATGAACCAGGCATGGATCCCACCAGAATTGTCTGTACCTTGTGCAGACTAGACATTTATACTGGCCTCATCCAGCCATTGTTATACTCAAGTGCACTTATTCTTTGTTTTCTTTTTTTATATGTCCCAATATTTTGGGGGCTACCCCAACTGTTTGCAGGCCACTTGTCCTACTCTTACCCCCATTTTACTTCCTTTTGCAGCCCCCTAGCCCTTTCCAGGACTTTTTTGGAGCCATTTTAGTGCCCAAAGGTTCGGGTCCCCATTGACTTCAATGGGGTTCGGATTCGGGGTCAAGTTCGGGTCAAGTTCGAGGATGAACTCAAACTTTTTGCCGATGTTCGGCCGAACCCGGCGAACCCGAACATCCAGGTGTCCGCTCAACTCTAATTGCAACATATGCAACCTGTGGAATTTATAGTGTTTTTAGGGAGCTTCTATAGTACAGGTCAAGCAGCCCTGTTACTATCACTGTATAATTTCCCTAGATCACATTTAGGTTGCATGAGCAACATATCACCACTGTATATACACTTTATTTTCTTTTGATCACATGTAGGTTGCACGAGCAACCTTTTTGCTCTGTATTTGTGTTTTTTTCTTCAACAATAAAGTTTATTACCAAATATTGAATTTGAATTAGAGTTAATTCTTGTGGGGCTGGTTTCTCTATTGTGGAGTTAAACATGGGTTAAGTCCTAATTTACCTATGTAACCCCTCCAAAACTCGGAAGATAGGGCTTGTACCCTATCTTCATTTAATTTTTCCTTCTTATATGTTTATACTTCCTTCCATCAATCTGTCCATCCATCCATCCACCCATCCATCCATCCATCCACCTTTTCATCAGTCTTTCTGTCCATCTATTCACCAATGCATCAATTGTTGTTACTCTAGGAAATGGTGCAAAGTTCACTAAGCAAAGTGACTGTTGAATTCTGACATTAGACCCTCACAGGAGAGCCTGTGCTCCCAGGTGTGTGATAAATTCTTCCAAACTGAACAAATCTTTAGTGTCTTCAAGTATTGTTATACTTCCAGCAAAGCCTATTCAGGGATTTATGTATAGCAAAGAGAAAGCCAAGATTTTCTTTTTTTTTTTTGTCCCCTTGGAATGTTGAAAAGATATGACATCTGAGCAGGTCTGTCAACTGACTTGATGAAAAAGGTCTTTACATTACTACCTACCGCAGAAGTAGATAAATTCAAAATGATACTGGAAAACAGGACACCAAAGTGGTCTCTGGAGTAGGACTGATCCAGGACAAAGCATGGTTGAATTCAGTTGCTTTTCACAGGGAAATAAAGCTCAGGTGTTTCAATCAACAGGTGCTTTTTGAAACAAATCAAAAGAAAAGAGAATGGCTTACAGATCTTGTGTTCGACCTTGGTGGCATAAACGGCACACATCAAATTCCATCATTCTTTCCATTTGTTCGGAATAATGTCATTATCCTCCAAACAGAGTAGCAGTGCGCCAGTTGTCGCTCTGATTAAACACAGTGTAGTGAGTGTTATAATTACACATTCATTGTCTTGGTCTACATCTGTAGTTTTTTGAGTCAATTAAAGATTGAGACTATAGAAGATAATCATTAAATAGGTATAAAATAAGATCAGAGGCCAGGGACACCACCTCCATCAGACAATATAGGTGCCTTGGGTACTGGGGGCACCACAGCAGAGCCCTGGTTGCTGAACGAGTCTGCAGGGAGATCAAAAGATCTCCCTGACTGGCATGTGTCATCCAACCCCCCCCGCCCCCAGCCAAGCTTCCAGTACTGTACTGTACCGAAGTTCTTTTTTTCTTCTACTGTATTAGAACGTTGCTATAGTTTACCGCGGCAATGCTCTGATACATTTCCTGGCAGACATGCTGCATTTCCCACCGGACCACCAGGGAGCAGGATTCTCCCCCTCCCTAGCCAAAGGTAAGATTCAGGAAGAAACATTATTTAACCTTTTGTTTAATAAAAAAAAATATGTATTTATTTTGTAACCTTCCCCTTAGCCCTTTATTAATCGACTACATCCACTAACCCTTACAACAGGACCTAATCCAAACCACGCCCCCCACTGCTGCCCCTGACTCCCCAACAACAGGTCCTAATGAGCAAACTAGTAGTCCTAGCCCCCCACTGCTGTCACTGACCCCCCACCACAGATCCTAATCCCTAACTACTGCTTATGACCCCCATAACAGGTCCTAACCTGACCCGACTACTGCCCCTGACCCCCAGTACTTCTCCTGACCCGTTACTACTGCTCCTGAACACCCCGTTACTACTGCCCATGACACCCCACTACATGTCTTGACCTCTACTTCAGCCTCTACCCCCCACTGCAGGCTACTGCCTCTGAACCCCCACAAAAGTCCTAGCCCTCACTGCTGTCCCTGACCCCCCACAACAGGTCCTAAGTCCCACTACTGCCCATGACCCTCCACAACAGGTCTTAAGCCCTACTACTGCCCCTGACCCCTCATAACAGGTCTTAACACCCACTACAGCCCCTAACCCCACTACATGTCTTGACTCCCCCACTTCAGCCCCTACCCCACACTGCATGTACTGCACTACTGCATTTGACCATTTCCCACTACATGTCCCAACTCTGACCCCCCCCCCCACTGCAGGTGCTGCACTAATGCCTCTGTCCCTCCCACTATAGGTCCTGACTCTAACCCCTTAGTACTCACTTCTAACTACGACCTCCACTATTGTCCCTGACCCCTCTCAACAGGTCCTAAACCCCTCACTGCTCCTGTCCCCCCCTCAGCCCGTAACTCCCCACTACATGGCCAAACTCCCCAATATTGCATCTAACCCCCCACTGTCATGACTCCCTACTACTACCACTGACCATCATTACAGGTCCTGACTATCCACATGCATTTCCCAAACGTCACACATTGCCACACACAACACTCACAGCCGCCCAAACTTATCACTCAAAGCTACTCACACAGCTACACAAACTACTCACAGCTAATCACCACTATACAAAAATCATGCACAGAAAGCCACAACACACACCTCACATATAGCTACAACACTTACAGCCACCCTTCATCTACAGAAGACACACAACCACAACACACATTAACTCAACATTTTAATAAATATTCACATTACATAACATTAAAAAATAACATAGGGATTTTCCCAGTACACACCCTTATGAAATGGGCCCAGACTGGTCCAGCAAAAGAGTGGTAATACTGACCAGTCAGACAGATTGCTGTAGAGGCAGGCTAGTTGGATGATAGCAGCCATGCTGGGCACCCACGACTGCAGTGCCGCCCTTACTCATAGACTCCATCTGCTGGCAGCCGGTGCCTAGTGCACACTGAAGACTGCTTCATCCATCCCATCAGACTAGGTAGCACACCGCAAGGATCCAGCATCTGTATGCTCCCTGCCCTCTGTTCATTGGCACAGAGCTACATGCAGTTGGTCCCCTCGTTGTCTGTCCTCTCTGATACTCTCGCCCTACACCAGACACCAAAGCAAACCTTAGAGTAATGACGAGGACAGATAAGACAGAGATGTTGGACACCGGGGGACCAACTTTTGAACCATACAGATTAGTTTTGACCTGGAAGGCTATTTACCCCTGCCACCATAACAACTTCAACCTGAATAAGTACCTAATGAGCCTAAATTGGAGCTATGAAAACAGCTGCTTTACAGTTGCACAGTTTTCGTTTTTTTCTCATGAAATAGGCGCAAAAGTGCAAGTTGTTCACAGTTAATGACTGTCTTGCAAAGATTAAGTCTAAACAGTACATTGTTACAAAATCTACAACTGGTTTGAGTGAGAAGTTTTTTTTTTTTATTTAAATGCAGCTATTTTGGGAACTCAGTTCTCAACTCCTCACAATGTACCATTTAGTAAACACCCCATTGTGTTTGACCGTAATACACTTTTCTGTTTATCACTTCATCATTTTTTTTAATTCCAAAACTGAGGCTTAGTAGTAGAATAATCTGACATGTTTTTGGACCTATGTCAAGACATTCATTAACCGAGGGCCTGTGGAGACAACCATTTTGAAACCACCGAATTGAAAATAAAGTCACAGTGTGACTACAATACAGCATCGTTTTAACCATGGCAGCTTTTAACTAACATTTCTTTTAGTAGTGATACATTGAGAGGTTACATTTGTGAGTTACATGGTTAGGAGACAGGTCTTCCTAGATGTTAGGGGCTAGAAATTGGCCCCTAACTTTATGTTAGTAGCTAGGAATTATCTAGATGTTACAAAATAGGGTTTAGGGTAAGGCGTTTCTAACTAGAGGTTAAAGAGTTGGGGTTTGGAATGTGGCACTATAGATAAGAGTAGCTGTTAAAGCAGATATATCACTTTTAATCAGCCCTTCTTGGGCTTCATTTAATATTTTTGGATAAGCTTTTTAAATGATTTAATATTTTTGGACATACTTTTAACATTATTTAATATTAGGATTTTTTTTAAATATTTTAATGTTTTTAAATTTTTTTGACAATA